TGTGTCTCCCAGCACAGTCTCAAGAGCATGGAGGAGATTCCAGGAGACAGGCAGTTACTCTAGGAGAGCTGGACAGGGCCTTAGAAGGTCCTTAACCCATCAGCATTTTCTGCTCCTTTGTCCAGGAACACTGCCAGAGCCCTACAAAATGGCCTCCAGCAGGCCACTGGTGTGAATGTCTCTGACCAAACAATCAGAAACAGGCTTCATGGAGGGTGGCCTGAGGGCCCTAAGTCCTCTAGTGGGCCCTGTGCTCACTGCCCAGAATCAGAGCTCAATTGGCATTTGCCACTGAACATCAGAATTGACAGGTCCGCCACTGGCGCCCTGTGCTTTTCACAGATGAGAGCAGGTTCACCCTGAGCACATGTGACAGACGTGAGAGGGTCCGGAGAAGCCATGGAGAACGTTATGTTGCCTGTAACATGGTTCAGCATGACCGTTTTGGTGGTGGGTCAGTGATGGTCTGGGGAGGCATATCCATGGAGGGACGCACAGACCTCTACAGGCTAGATCAGGGGTCTGCAACCTTTAAGACATAAAGAGCCACTTGGACCCGTTTCCGAGAGGGAAAAAAAAGACTGGGAGCCGCAAAACCATTGCAACATTTAAAACAAATCCGACACTGCATATATTGCAAAAAGCGCTCTGGTCATGAAGGGGGTTTAAGGGCCCAGTAAGCAAAGGGTTAATCAGGGCCACAGTGTATCGTCATAATCACAATCATAGCCTTAGGTCAGTGGTGGGCAACCTTTTTTTTCAACTGAGCCAAATCTCGCCAAAACCACGATTGAAATTTACTTTGAGAGCCACATTTTTAAAACTGAAAATACATCCCCCATATAGTAATTCATCCCCCATATAGTAATTCATCCCCCATATAGTAATTCATCCCCCATATTAAGTCCCCAAGTCCCCCCTGTGTCAATTCACTTACCTTTGCTCCGCGCGTTCCTCTCGCTGTGTTCCCGCGCCGTTCCGGTGTAGCAAGAAAATCTGTCTCCTATGAGGATCTGTCCCCCTCGACGTATCTGCGCATGTGCCAGTTTCAGGCATTAGCAGCCGATCGGCGATCTCCGGCACATGCGCAGATACGTCGAGGGGGACAGATCCTCATAGGAGACAGATTTTCATGCTACACCGGTCTTCAGGGCGGACTGTGAGAGGAGCCTAGCGGGAGCCTAGCTCCGCGGGCCGGATTAAAAGGTCCGCCGGGCCGTAGTTTGCCCACTGCTGCGCTATTGCCTGTCACCTGGTGGGCAGTGTGCTCCGGAGCCGCAGCCAAGGTGAAAAAGAGCCACATGCGGCTCTGGAGCCGCTGGTTGCCGACACCCGGGCTAAATGATGGCACCCTGACTGCCAATAGGTATCAGGATGAAATCCTTGGACCTACTGTCAGACCCTACGCTGGTGCAGTGGGTTCTGGGTTCCTCCTGGTGCACGACAATGACAGTCTCATGGGGAGCGAGTATGCAGGAAGTTCCTGGAGGATGAAGGAATTGATACCACTGAATGGACCCCATGCTCGCCTGACCTAAATCCAGTAGAACACCTCTGGGATATCATGTTTCGGTCCATGTGACACCACCAGGTTGCACCTCAGACTGCCAAGAAGCTCAGGGATGTTCTGGTCCAGATCTGGGAGAAAATACTCTAGGACACCATCCGTCGTCTCATTATGAGCATGCCCCAATGTCAGGCATGCATACAAGCACGTGGGGGCCATACAAACTACTGAGTACCATTTTGAGTTGCAATGAAATTTCAGCAAAATGGACTAGACTGCTGCAAAATTTTTTCACTTTGATTTTTGGGGTGTCTTTGATGGAAATGATCAACCTACAGAGGACTGAATTCAAATGATAGGGCATCCTTATGTTCCCAACACATTACCCAGTCCATATCAGTATAGATATTCAGCATGATATTTTTTCCCCCATTGAGATCTGATGTGTTTTCAAAGTGTTCCTTTCATTTTAGGGCCATTATTCACTCTTAAAACTTTTAACCTGATGAAGAAGGTTCACCCTTAAAACTTGTCAGTGGTAATGCATGCTAGAGACAGCGGCCAGATCAACCACAGGCATTTCTTGTGTGCAGTAAAGGTTGAGTGGGCTTCTTCCTGAAAGTCATTTTATGTGATACAATTCTATAAAAAGGACATTTGTGAATACCCCAATTTTACTACATTTTTAGTAAAGGTTATATAAAGGGGTCAAACGATGCTTGTGTGCCGTTTGTTCTATAGCTTTTACAGCTATAGAACAAAAGATTGCTGTGTTTTCATGGGTACATGCAATTTTAAGGCTTGGAATCTTTTTATTCAGCACAATCTCATTTATGCATTACCAAAAAATGGGTAATAAACTATTTGTGCATACTAAAATTAACTTTAGTGTATTTTTACTGACAAAAAAAATTGGAACTACCGCCAATTTATTCTTCAGGGTCTCTTTCAGAAAACATGCAGTGAAGGAAATAAGTATTTGATCCCCTGCTAATTTTGAATGTTTGCCCACTCTCAGAGAAATGATCAGTCTAAAAATCAAATGGTAGGTGAATTAAAACACAGAGACAGAATAGCAGCAAAATTTCAAAAGAAATGCATATCTAACAAATTATGCACGGATTTGCATGTTCATGAGGGAAATAAGTATTTGATCCCCTATCATTCAGCAGGATTTCTGGCTACCAGGTGTCTTTCATACAGGTAACAAGCTGAGATTACAAGCAGTCTCTTTAAAGGGAGTGCTGCTAATCTCATTTTGTTACCTGTATAAAAGACACCTGTGCACAGGAGCAATCAAACAATCAGATTTCAAACTCTCCACCATGGTAAAGACCAAAGAGCTGTCTAAGGATGTCAGGGACAAGACTGTAGACCTACACAAGGCTAGACTGGGCTACCAAACTATTGCCAAGCAGCTTGGTGAGAAGGTGACAACAGTTGGTGCAATCATTCGCAAATGGAAAAAAAAAAAAAAAAAAAAAAAAAAAAAAAAAAAAACACAAAACAACTGTCAGTCTCCCCAAGTCTGGTGCACCATGCAAGATCTCACCTCGTGGAAGGTCTGATTGTAAGAACAGTGATGCATCATACCAGAACTACACGTGAGGATCTTTTCAATGATCTCCAGGCAGCTGGGACCACAGTCACCAAGAAAACAATTGGTAAAAGTTTGCCACTGAACATCTGAATGATTGAAAGTTGAAAGTGTTGTGGTCAGATGAGACAAAATCGAGCTCTTTGGCATCGACTCATCTCGCCATGTTTGGAGATAGAGGAATGCTGCCTATGACCCCAAGAACACCATCCCAACTGTGAAACTTGGTGGCGGAAACATTCTGCTTTGGGGGTGTTTTTTCTGCTAAGGGGACAGGAAAACTGCACCGCATCAAAAAGGGATGATGGACGGGGCAATGTACCATCAAATCTTGGGTGAGAACCTTCTTCCTTCAGCCAGGACATTAAAAATGGGTCGAGGATGGGTGTTCCAGCATGACAATGACCCAAAACACAAGGCCAAGGCAACAAAGGAGTGGCTCAAGCAGAAGCACATTAAGGTCCTGAGCTGGCCTAGCCAGTTAAAAATCTATGGAGGGAGCTAAAAGTTTGAGTTGCCAAACGTCAGCCACCAAACCTTAATGACTTGGAGAGGATCTGCCAAGAGGAGTGGGCCAAAATCCCTCCTGAGATATGTGCAAACCTGGTGACCAACTACAGGAAACGTCTGACCTCTGTGATTGCCAACAAGAGATTTGCCACCAAGTACTAAGTCATGTTTTGTGAAGAGGATCAAATACTTATTTCCCTCATGAACATGCAAATCAGTGCATAATTTGTTAGACATACATTTCTTTTGAATATTTTGTTGCTATTCTGTCTGTCAGTGTTACAATACACCTACCATTCGATTTTTAGACTGATCATTTCTTTTTGAGTGGGCAAACTTCCAAAATCAGCAGGGGATCAAATACGAGGTTTTACCTAATCTTCAGGCCTAAAATGTGCAATTTAACGTGTGTATATAATACAAAAATGCTCTGGTAGCAAAAGGGTTGATCCACAAGGTCCCTGCAAAAGAAAACAGTGTAAATTTACCAGATGGCAGATTATTTCTCATACATCTTCTCCATTCCAGCACTAAAGCCTCAGAATTCAGCAAGTTTGGGAGGGTTATCTGTGTCTCCTGACACACACTGTTTCCTTTAATTGCATATTAAATATGCACTTAAAAAAAGTTTGTCCTGGCCTTAACCAAATTTACCTTCAAACCTCCTTCCCCACCTCTAGAGCAGGTTTTCCTTCTACCTTGTTCCTGTATTCAAAAACAGCTTTCATTACTACCTGTGCCATCAGACACGTAATAATAAAGACTGTTTAAAAGAAAAATCTACAACCTAATCTGCAACAATCACCTTTAATTAGGACTGTTGCGTGCAGAGCTTTTGTGTCACAAGATATACTCAATCTTCCACATTGGCGGCCAGCGTCATTTATCCTGGAAGAATGAGACGGCATTGTGACTGCAAAGTGCCCTGTCTATGCATGCAAAGTGCATGTCACCTAACTGGGTGTCACCTTGGGACCCTTCTTTCACAGTCCTGTTTAAGTCAGAAGGTTACTGCCAATCTCTGCATCACCACTCAGAACCACTCAGGCCATATCACATGACCGGCCTAAAATTATGTAAAAAAGGCAAGTACAGAAAAAAAAAAAAAACAAAAATAGGGGCAACTGGGAAGCAGGGGATGAAGTGGTTTTAAATTTACAGAGGCCAATGTGCACATTTATGCCCTGAGAAAACATCTCTGGGACTATTACTATCTTGGGGGAAACAAAGTTCAATCAGCTTAGGCAAATCCATCTAGATAATGGTTTGCTTCCAGACTGGATTGCTGGGTTTGTATGCAGCTGTCGAAACATGCCCTAAGACATAATATTCTCCTGATCTATGACTGGCCAAGAGATCTTATTTCTACAGGAGCATCAATTGATGTCAGTATTTGACATGACTGAAATCAACCAACCTCTTTCCGACGTGCATCAGTTCAAAGGCATCATTAATAGCAGTGAAAGGCAAATTGTGTGTTACAAATTCATCAACTTTAATCTTTTTGGCCATGTATTCAGAGACCAGCTTGGGAACACTGTCTACACTCTTCCAACCTGAAAAAAAAAAAAAAAAAAAAAAGTTATTCTGACAGATATTGCTACTGTGATAAAAACAAATAAAGAGTCTACTATGCAATATTGTTACAAAAAAAAAAAAAATAAATAATATATCATAACCGCTTCAAAACTCCAGAAGTATTGGTGAAAGGGTTAAGAACCCATTTTTTCTGGGGCATATGATGTCAATTTTGTCTACAGGAGTTTTTTCTCCCGTACCCAAAAGTGGGAATCAAATTTCACATATTAGCAGTTACTAAAAAAGCCCCCCCCCCCCCCTTTTTTTTTTTTTTTTTTACTCCCCCATTGATGTTGCCATCAGGGGAGGACTGACCATTGGAACACTCGGGCACTGCCCGAGGGCCCAGGGTCAGTAGGGGGCCCCATGAGATGCCCCTGGTACGTTTCATTGGTTTTTCATAGGCTTTTTTGGGTGTGGGCAAGGACACGGGGGCCCCATGATACCCTATTGCCCGGGGGCCCCATGAGTTGTCAGTCCGCCCCTGGTTGCCATTATTGCCTTGTGTGGTACATATGTAAACATGAACTAGAGAGGAACTAATCTTTGGAAGACCTAAAAAGGAAGACAGTTTGCAAAGGACTAGTCACCAATATTGCCCATGGTCTCATTGCAGCTGATCTTGTTCCATTAAGCTATGCCTTTTTCTGCACTGCATTTCTGTGTGGAGGTAGAAGCAAGGTTTTAGTAGAGGCAGGGTTTTTCCTCAAACCAAAGCTCAACAAGGAGAGCAATGGCAAACAGCAAAGCTTGACGATACCTTGCTGCTGCCCCGAGGTCCCACGTTAACACTAGTTTTGCATTTCACGGCTTTGGTATCTTTGCCTGAGGGCCTGGATTCCCACTCCTTTGCTAAGCCTTTTTCAGATTGTTCCCCAGTTATGGGCTGATGCAGGTGGTTTGGCATGAGGTCAAACAGCTGCAGGGTACACTAGTTTCACTACACTATGGAACAATCCTATATACCCTTATCTGGCCAAGATTCAGTGAGACCCCAAATGGTAAGCCAATGGCATTACACGTTATCCATGAATACACTACTATAATTTTCGGTTCTGAAGGCCAAATTTGGTCTTCCTCAAAAGATGCACTTTTACGATTTACAATTACAGCATGCAGTGGCAGCACAATGCTTTCCAACTGATTTTTGTTTTTCCCCCACTCCAGCGTTTTATATAATGCAACAGGTTAATACCAGTAAGGGTTTCATCTCTAACTGCTACTCTCTTTGGACATACCTAGACGATTATGCTTGTAAAGCAGGAGTGCAATGGGAGCTTGATGTGGAAGAATTGACAGGAGATCACTTGGAGGAAGCCATGGAGGCATTTTGCCTTCGCTCATTAACTACTTGACTACTGGGCACTTTTACCCCTTTCCTGCGCTGGCTAAATTTTCAGCTTTCAGAGCTGTCCCACTTTGAATGACAATTGCACGGTCAAGCAACACTGTACTCACTGAACCGTTAGCAATGGCTAACAGGCCAAACAGGAACAGTTCTTTTAATAGAACAAGAGGTATAACAGAGAGCCCTTACAGAGCCACCAGTATGATTTTCTGACCTAAGCCAACATCCTGCAAGGCCTGAACATTCACTTTGAAAATGTATGAGCAGAAGAGCAAGTGATCACCTTACAGACCTGAGAAACCAAGGCTTCATCAATTGTTTTTGCCATTTACCAAATGTCCAATCAGCTGGAGGTGGAACATAACCCAATAGTCTAAGAATTGACTGTCTTGTGTCATGTGATGTACGTTTAAGATAGTAACATATTAAGTTGCCTAAGACTAGCAGTCAAAGGCAAAGCACCCTAATCTTACACTGCAGATCAACAGCTGTGATGCTTTAGGCAACGGGGTGCTTAGGCACACTTACATGACAGGAAATACAGAGCTATATTTCAGGGAGAATTCCAGGAAAAAAAAAAAAAAAAAACATCATTGAAGTAGACTTTTCAGGGTGTTGCTGAGGCACAAACATAATTTCAAAATATCCCCTATAACAAAGCCAATCTAAACTTTTGAGCTCTGTTCTACTTTATTGTAAACAACTTCTGAATCTATTCAAAGAAGGAACTTCACTCGGATTAAAATTTTTTATATATATATATATACTATATATATATATATATATATATATATATATATATATATATATATAATATATATATATATATATATATATATATAAAAAAAATATATGTACAGGGACATCTTCCCCACTGCCAATTCTTCTTAGGGCTGTGGATCCCCTGAGCTGCCATCTTGGCTTTTGGAGCCAGCTGGGACTTTCTGATGATTAATGGCTGGCTCCCCAGCAAGACTGGTCTTACAGCCTCCTAGGATGTGTGAAGTTATTCCAGGAGACTGCAGTTTAAGGTAATGCCATCCTTGCCTAGGCAAGGATTAGGGAAGTGGGAGTGGGTACCTCCCACAGAAAGGCACACACACCCTGCAATTTTGTTGGGAGGCAGGGGGAGGAAAAAGATGAGTGGTACTTTCAATTTTAAGTGAAGGTCTGCTTTAAAGTCACTGATTTGCTATGAACACTTTTTATTGTTATGGGATACAAGGTTTATAAAGCTATAGTTTAGCTTAAACTCTTTGATGTAAAACAATGTTTTTCTGCAGTTTAAAAATCGAATGTATTCCAAAGATACCTACAGGGAAAATAAAATAGAAGATCTGTAAAGCCCTGTACACGCAAGCTGAATTTTTTTAATCAGCCGTTACAATAGAAACTGACCGATTTTTGGCCTGTGTGTACAGCTGCTTATCTGACAGAAGCTGATCTCAGGACCGGCTTCAGCCGAACCAGCATGCAGGCAAACCAGCAACCGGTCGGTATCTGCTCAGCGCTGTCAGAACAAAATAGCACAGTGGGGAGATCGCTGTACTGACATTGCATAGTTAGTAAAGTGACCTCCTCGTTTTTTTTTTCATTCAGCACCTGGGTTGAAAAAACAAAAAAAACTGTAATGTGTGTACCAGGCTTTAATTTCATAAAATTAAAAACCACATTGGATATGTAGTTTGTCGGCCTCACCCCCAAAAGCAGTTCCTTTCCATGTACGTCCAGTGACCAGCTGGAATGGGCGTGTTGCAATTTCCTGGCCCGATGCTGCCACACCCGCAATGACACTTACACCCCAGCCTTTATGGCAGGCCTCCAAGGCAGCACGCTTGGGAAAAAAAAAAAAAAAAGTTTTTAATAAAAGATAGTGGAAAATTGCTGCATGTTAAATGTAACATACTGGTTTTGAAACAAAGGTTTGTAATTACATAAAATAATCTTAACATGAGAACTTTGGTCCATTAATTATGTGCTTCCAAGCGGTCAGTAAACTTGACAATTAAAGCAGTATTAAACCCCCCCCCCAAAAAAAAAAGTTATATATTGCAGCCTTCAAATCCTTAAATGTGATGCCTGCTTTTTCTTTTTTAGGGTTTTTGCCTGTGGTTTTTACCCAACGATCTGGCTAGTAACACATTCGGTCGTAGGGCATGTCTAAAGTGGAAGAGCAATAAACACACCCTTTGACAACAGCATTGTCAGTCTGGGGAGAGGGTAGTGTTAGATGCGCTAACAAATTTAGATGGACTTGACCAAAAAAAATTACAGTAAAACCAAGCCCTGCAGTCCTTTAGGCCTCGTTCTCACCATAAATGCACAAAATCTGATAGAAACTGTAGCGCAGATTCCATTTGCAGAGACATCAGTTTTCATGCGCACTACAATGAGTTTTATAGACGTTGCAGATTGCTGCACGTTCTTGAAGGGCACAATGGAATAGACATCTCTGCACCATGGTGTGAATGAGCCTCTATAGCCAAGGAAGCAGCCATCTTTGCCTATGTTTGATCTGCGGTTGCCATGGTGCTGCACATGATCAATTATGACACCAGCCATTTGATGGCTTGATGGTTTGGTTGAAGGCACAAGCACTTGTGAAAATTATGCGTAGCATGCCTTGACTAACTGTTTTGACAATAAGTTAAGTGGAACTAAACACCCCAGTATAATCACCTCCATGTTCCAGTGATACAGCGGTTACATTCCTCGCTGGTTGCGGTCATCTTCTCCCCAGTGTCAGTTTTTCAGTGTCTTGATTGGACAGAAGGGGATGATGTCATCCTGCGCATGTGCCCAGAATTCAATTAATGCACATGTACTGCGGAAGCCCAGCTCAGTTTACATTCAGTAGAATACTTACTGCAAGCTGGCAGGAAAGTTTGTATTGCAGAAGAGACTTAGCATGTAAATTCTGCAATTAAAAAAAAAACTGCCTGCTCGCAGGTTTATTTCCACTTTAAATCAATGTGTTTAGTTAGGCAACTTTTTTTACTTTGTAATAAATTTACATGAATTAATAAAAGTTGGACCATTGGAAGCACCTCTGTCAGTGGTAAATGTTTTGTTTCAACCCTCTTATTTATAGACCAAAAAGTGGCAGTTAAAGAAAAGTTGAAAAATAACAGAAAACAAGAGGGGAAAACGCCTGTCAAGAAAACTAATGCAGCCACCGCATCCAGGAATTGTTAAGCTGCAATGTACTACATTTTTGTTTTTGTGCTTAATACTGCTTTACATACATTTTCCTTACTGCAGCTTGCGCTTTTTGTGCATAAACACACACTATGGGCAATACTGTACCATTTCTAATGGGTTACATCCACTCTGTACAGCCAGAAGATCATAAAGGGTTGAATATTAAATGATTCCTTCAAGCAGAGATGGTTAGAGATAATACACCATTTTGCTAACAAAACAGTGGCATAAAATCAGTGGTGATCCATGGCAAAATAGGAGTCAAGTATGAAAAAATTCTGGATACCTTAAAGAACTAGTCTCCAGAATTCAGAAGCAGGCATAGCTCTTTATTGCAGAAAAGACATGCAATGTCTTTCTGAAACAAAATAAACCTACCCGCCCGCTCGTAGTCTTCTTTATAATGCACCCTGAGCTGCACAGGCAAAGATCAGTTTACATTCTGGCACTGATTTGGTTTGCTGGGATGACTGCACTCTTGCACATGTGCAGGAGTGAAGTCAACCTGCACTGGCCAATGAAGATGGCACCATCCCATCACCTGGAAGACACTGGCACCAGCAAAGGACATAGAACCATTGAAGGAGAGGAAAGTAATGTGGACTTCAGTGGACAATCTGTGCAGAATGCTATTAATCCTCTTGCAGAATATACTGAACCAAAGAAAATACTTAAGTAAAAAAAACAATTACCATAACCCCCACATTTCCGATGCATTCAAAGGAATAGTCCACTCCTCCTTCAGTGAGTTCTACCAAAACCTCCTGGATGGGTTTACTGTAATCTGTAGGGCTGATGCATTCAGTGGCTCCAAACTCCGTGGCCTTGGAAAACTTCTCCTTGATAAGGTCAATCCCAATAATGCGCTTGGCACCAGCTACTTTGCATCCCATGATCACTGCAAGACCAACAGCTCCTAGGCCAAACACAGCACATGTAGAACCTGGCTCAACCTAATAAAAAAAGGCATTAAAAGTTTGTTTTTTTCCAGAACAAAGCAGAAACACAACAAACACATTGATAACACATACAATTATTGCATTTAGCGGAGGACATTATTCCAAAATGATAAAAAAAATGGTACAGATTCACAAAAAAACTTTTGGGAGCATATTTTCAGTGCAACACTTCACAACTTTCATTGCAAAAAAATGCAGTAAGGCCACTGATAATTTTACACACCAAAATAAACTCAAAAGGTTCTTGGCAGTACTGCATAAATCTGCTTACCTTGGCAGTGTTCACAGCTGCTCCATATCCGGTTGAAACACCACAGCCCAGCAGACAGACTTTGTCCAAAGGAGCAGTGTTCTCGATTTTAGCCACAGAGATATCAGCAACCACCGTGTATTCAGAAAAGGTGCTGGTGCCCATGAAGTGGAAAATCTGCTTCCCCTTGCAGGTAAATCGGCTGGTACCATCAGGCATTAGTCCCTGACCTTGGGTAACCCTGTCACAGAAATAGCAATGGAGTTCTACTTTGGACACATAAGCCTGAATATATAGACTAGATACATAATAAATTAAAAGTATCATTCTGTAAAACCCTTTTTCAGTTTTTGATAAAGTGGGGATTGGTTAAAGCCTCTGTCAAGATTTCTGTTAACTTCTTATGGTATCCTCTAACTTTCTATTGCTTGACACAGGCAGTAAAGGGAAATTACACAGGAAGGAAAGGAAAAGAAAAAATAAATAAATAAATATCTTTGACAGCAGGGGATGTACTCCCCATGTACTACTCTATCCAAAACTAAAAAAAAATTCAGTAAAATGAACTTTAAAAGAATTATTTCCCAACATAGCTGCACGATGAGAGGTTTTTAACCCCTTGGCGCCTCCCGGCCCTTTAAGGGTTTCAGAAACCAGGAGGCGGGGTGGGGTTTTAGGGTCATGTGACCGCCGTGATTCGCCATCACATGATCGGGAAAGGTCCCGATCGAAACCTTCTGTGAGTACCAGACGTGTGTGCTGGGAGTGCGCAGGGCGAGTGCTCTCAGCACATGTTTTTTTTTTTTTTAAATTGCACACAAATGTGCGGCCACTCGGGAGTCTAAACCCAGACGCCGGAGAGGTCGCACATTTGTGCGCGGCCTGTGAAGAAGTTAAGGAACATGGAGGATATTCCAAGGAAAGATGGGCACCCTGCAACATGGCAATGTTGTGCACAAGAAATCACTCAGATTGCTACACACTTGTCTTCAGACCAAATGAAGTACATAATTCTATAGAACAAATTCCATAGAAACTTAAAAAAAAAAATAATAATAATGTAGCGTGACCATTATGTTCAGCCAATGGCCAGAACAGAATATTGGAGCCCCAGCATAGACAAATAATTTAGCTGCTCTAAACAGGATTCCTGTCACAAGCTACTGCAGTGGTATTGGAGAGAACATGGCTGTGCCGTCAAGGTGACCTGCTAACCCACAAACTTTGGTGCAGTAATCAATATACTGGTGACCCCTACATTCCAAGTTTCCACTTGCAAAGCCTCTTTCTGCACAGTACCATTGCACTCATTTTCAGATGCAGTCATTTAATTAAAAGTAAAAAACAGAGGAGGATAAGGGAACACCTTTGAAGCATGCTGTGGCTTGAGTATGCCAAAGGGGACAGACATCCTCACTGTTGGGGATCTCTTCAGCTGGGTGTTCGGGCAGGCCCATGTCCACAGTGGCAGAGTCGGACTCAGAATCCGACAAGGCCGATGAAGCAGAAGAGGGCGGGGGTCGCTTCTTGTTTGACTTATGCCCCAACGCTACCTACACCCAGGAAACAAGGTCCCTGAGGGGCCCGCAACCTCAAGGGGTGGGGGGGGGGGGTGGGGGAAGAGATCAGGTGTGGAAACATGGTCAGGAAACACGGTCCTGAGGTTCCATCTCTGGAAGGGGAAGGAAAGGCACTACTATAGAGACCCGCTAGCCTCAATATAAAAGACCAGCAGAGGGAAGATACCGCACCAGAATTCACCAGCAAGGCACGTACAGAGCTGCCAGCAGTCCCCTAACAAAGAAAGCATGCCAAGCTGCCACATGGAACACACATTCAGCACAGCAGGACGCCTGGGAACAGCTGTCCATGTGATCCACATGGGCATAGATAGCAAAAAATCTGCTGCGGGACTACAACAAAATGGCCACCAAAACCCCGCCCACTGCAGCCTAGGCTCCTATTGGGCAATGCAGACACAAAAAAAAAAAAAAAAAAAAAAGCCGCCTGACTGTATGACTAAGCCGCTAGAAGAGGAATTGCAGACCCTAAGAAAATGGCTGCCATAGCAGGGAGCAAGGTCACTACTCATGAACACTAGGCAGAAAAAAAAAAAAAAAAAAAAAAAAAAAATGGATGGTCTATGCAGAGAGGGGGGGGGGGGGGGGGGGGGGGGGGGAGGGGGGGGGTTATATCAGCCAGAACTGGCCATAGGCCATGCCGAGCTTTTTTTCCTGCCTAGCTTCCTACTCCTGTAGGTGGTGATATAACCCTATGGTTGAGCCTGGAAGACACCGTGTCTGTCAATGAATGAATGAAAGAGAAATATGGGATTTTTGCTAGCGCATCATAGGGGAGTCAAGTGAATACAGCTTCCCCGACATTCACTTTGGTGAGTGAACAACCTCTATACCTTTAGTAAATCAACCCCAACATGTATTAACTACATATAAATAAAAAGGCCAGTGGGCAGTTGAATTAGGCTGGAAGGTCTTAATGTTAGACTGCTCACAACACAAGTAAGCAAGCATGACAACCCATGCCTGAAATACTAGTTTTGGGTGCACTGAAACTTTATTATGAATGAATTATAAAACATAATTAAACAATATCAAAGAGATAATATGATTAAATATAAAAGTATAAAATACCTGATTTTTTGACACAGGTTTGTCTTGGGATTCAAGCAAAATTTGCATTCCCCACATTGTGGAATATACAGAGGAAGAACAGTGTCTCCTGAAACACACATATGAACATGAAACCAGCTGATAAAAAGTGTAGACTTTTTTTTCAGTTTGTACGAGTCAGTTTTAGTGTCTGGCATCCTAGACACTTCCATTTATTATAATTATTCCAATGCTGAAATACTGTTAAAAGACGTAGGATTCCATTGTAAAAATGATAGACCTTACATTAGGGGCAATTTCAAATACAAAATTTTACTTGTGTGCAATTGCTCATAAACCATGTAATTTAGGGCCTACTTACAGCCATGCATTGTGGTAGCATGCTTGTCAACATACAAGAAGTTAAAAACATTGGTGTAATGCCATTCATACTGAACAGCACCCAAAACGCACCTCCACAATGCACCTGTGCAGGTTAGCACACTAGTATCACTGGTACATTTTTCCTGTCCTCTCTGGTTTGTTGGCAGTCAATTTAAAATGAATCAACTTCTTAAACAATTTCATTTGCATGAAAACAACACCCAAAAGTGAAAATGGACCTTTAACCGCTTCCCGAACGCCCTACAGCAGGACTAATGTTACAGGGCAGCGCAAAACCACATATATACATGATTTTGGATTACCCGCGCCACCACTGGCATAGCAAAGTAATACAAAGCAGCATGCTTACACAGCAAAGCACACAAAAAAGGTCACATAGTAAAACAGCTAACCCTTTGATTGCCCCAGATGTTAACCCCTTCCTGCTCAGTGTCATTAGTACAGTGTCAGTGCTTTTTATTAGCACTGATCACTGTACTGTCGTCACTGGGGATGTCAGTGGCAGTTAGTTCCCACCCAGTGTCAGAATGTCCGCCGCAGTCCCGCTATAAATCACTGATCGCTGCCATTATGAGTATAAAAAAAATAATAATTTGCAGACACTATAACTTTCACGTAAAACAATTAAATTACATGTATTGGGATTTTTTTTTTTAGCAAAGAAATGTAGCAGAATGCATTTTGGCCTAAATTTAATTTTTTGAATTTTTTTTACTGGATAAGTTTTATAGCAAAAAGTCAAATATTGTTTTCTTTTTTCAAAATTGTTGGTCTTTTCTTGTTTATAGCGCAAAACAAAAAAAAAACAAAAAAAAAAAAAAAAAACAAAAAAAAAAAAAAAAAAAAAAAAAACGCAGAGCAGATCCAATACCATCGAAAGAAAGCTCTATTTGTGGGAACAAAAAAAGGGAAGAAGGACAAATTTAATTTGGGTGCAGCGTTGCATGACCACGCAATTGTCGGTTAAATTAATGCAGCGCCGTTTCACAAAAAATGGCATGGTCAAGAAGGAGGGTAAATCCTCTGGAAGGCAAGTGGTTAAAGTGGCTGCGACTCATAGGATTTTTGATGACTGAAACAATATATGTAAACCGTATGCAATTTTGTTAACGTAACACGGGCCAGTCAAGCAAAAAATGGCAAGCATAGGAACACACCTGGTTTAACCCTTGTAACGCCTTCTCCAACACTCTCTACAATGCCAGCTCCTTCATGTCCAAGTATTACAGGAAAGCATCCTTCTGGGTCAGCACCACTTAAAGTATAGGCATCAGTATGGCATACAGCGGTGGACACGATCTGCAAAGATTTATATATCATTGGACTCTTATGACAGAAAATGTACAATTATTAGGACTTTCTTCAGTACAACACACACAGCCAAGATTTCGAAATGCTTCAGTTCTGGGCGGCCACAGATTTCAAAAGGAAAACAAATAATTGCATTAGACTGCAGGCAGGGAAGCGTACGGTGATAAATATCGAGCTGCCAGATTATTTTTTTTTTTTTTTAAAGCTGGCCAGAGACAGATTGAAATTTGCCATGTATTGGTAGACTGGTTGCACCGAAGTCAATCGATTGATTTCAATTACCGTATTTTTCGCTCCATAAGACGCACCTGACCATAAGACGCACCTAGGTTTTAGAGGCAGAAAACAGGAAAAAAAAAAAAATTCTGAACTAATGGACTGCAGACACAGTACAGGAGACCAGAGACTGACCAGAGACCAGAGACTGCGGACAGCACAGATGACTGCTGACCTTTGGGGAGGTGGGGAGTGGGTACCTGAATTTGACAGGTACCCGCTCTTACTTCTGCAGAGTTTTTGTTTGATCTTACCTGTTCCTCGATCCAGCCGCGCGCTGTCTTCCCGACTTCTGTAATGGCGCTCGGCATGACAGCCGGGTGCCTAGTGCGCATGAGCGAGAAGCACTTGCGCTTTGTGATTGGTCCGGCGGCTTCTGGGATCTGTCATGTGTCCCAGGTACCACCTTACCATTCACAAAAAGCACCGCTTCTTGCGCATGCGCACTTGGCACCCGGCTGTCATGCCCAGTGCCCACACTACAGAAGCCGGAAAACGCGCGCCGCTGGATAGAGGAACAGGTAAGATCAAAGAACAAAGTAAGAGCGGGTACCTGTCAAATTCAGGTATCCGCTCCCCACCTCCCCAAAGGTCAGGAGTCATCTCCATAAGGTCCCGCTGCAGAGCTTAGCGGCCGGCCCGGTATTCTGACACAGCCACGGTGGAAATACCGGACCGGCCGCTCCATAAGACGCACTGACATTTTCCCCCCTTTTTTGGGGGAAAAAAAGTGCGTCTTATGGAGCGAAAAATACGGTAGTTTGTTGGGTTTTTTTTTTTTTGCACAATCACTACTGGCGGCTATAGCGGCCACCAGTCAAATTTGTATTCTAACGACAGGGAAACCCCTCATCATCAGAATACAATACCGCAGAGGGAGGCATTCTCCCATCAACACTAACATGTCCTTTAACCGCTTGCCCTGCACCCTATATCAAAGCCAGTGCTACAGGGCGGCAGGGGTGCGCAAAATCAAGTATATATACGTGATTTTACATTTACGGTTAGGGGGCGTGTGTAAGTCCTACCCGGGCCACCATTCGCGGCCTCGGCTGTCAATCAACGGGTCCCGTACGGTTATTAATCGCCGATAGCCAGTGATCTCCGTGTATCACAGATATATTTGTGAGAAAAAAAGGGCGTAAATTTCATTTGGGTGCAGCGTTGCATGACCAAGCAATTGTAAGTTAAAGTAACGCAGAGCGGTATCGCAAAAAATAGCCTGGTCAGGAAGGGGGGTAAATCCTCTGGAGGGCAAGTGGTTAAAAAATGCACCACCAACATGGCAAACATGGCATATGCGTTTTTGCCACAGATCTGTGTGAAAGTAGCCTAAATACCAATTGATCCTTCCAGTAGAACCATTTTTATATGGTAATTTTCCTGCAGCGAAATCACCATTATTGGCACCATTACTGATTCTGTAGCTACTTAGATGTTGAGAGCCCTATCTGAAAAAATTGTCATGCCTAGCTCTGGCCATTGAACTCTAGACTGAAAAAAAAAAAAAAAAAACTGCTCCATGTGCAGAATGTTAGGGAAATTATTTACAATTCCTGTACGATTTCCTTAATATCCCAAGACTTGATGACCAATCCATAGAAGGAGACTCACCGTATACCTGACACATTCCGCCTACTTAAGAGATCCTTGGTGGTTATATATATATATATATATATATATATATATTACGCATTACCTATGCGCTTCCGGTGAGTGCGCAATTTTACCTTTGGTTCAAGTCACAAGCTTGCTAGAAATCTGCTGCTGAGAGGATTATCCATTCTATGCTATATGAACCTTTTTACCTATTTATTATTTCTCTTTTACTGGATGGACTTATAATATATTTTATAACCTACGATTATTTATTAGCACTGCACTTTATATTTTTTTATTACAGAGCACTGTTCACCATGAAATTGAAGTAGGGGTTGGTGCTGGATGACTGCAGGTATGGAACGTATTGGAATAAATGAAATGCACATGGGAACTTTAGCACAATGAACCTGTTTTTTTACTCTTCATAAAGCTGCCAATAAAATATATTTTCACTATTATGGCAGCTATAAAGTCCAACAGAGGAGAGGTGAATGGTGGCCTTGCACACCATGTCCTGTAAAATGTACTCAGGAACACCTACTTTAATTCGCACTTCATGTGCGTTCGGTGGAGCCACTTCAACCTCTTCAATAGTCAGGGGTTTGCCTGCTTCCCAGGCTACAGCAGCCTTGCACTTGATGACCTCCAAGAAAAATGAGAAGACAAAATTGCAGATTTTAATTTAAGCAATACATTTACTTTTTTCTTATCTCTAAAGTAAAGAACTTTTTTTTTTTTTTTTTTTTAATTAAAAAACACCTTTACCTACCCTTCCCCTCCAGCAGGCTGGATATACAGGTTCCAATAACTATGTACCACCTTTTTAAAATTTATAAACAAACAATCAGATAGGAAAAATGTACAGTCAGGTCCATAAATATTGAGACATCGACACAATTCTAACATTTTTGGCTCTATACACCACCACAATAGATTTGAAATGAAACAAACAATATGTGCTTTAACTGCAGACTGTCAGCTTTAATTTGAGGGTATTTACATCCAAATCAGGTGAACGGTGTAGAAATTACAACAGTTTGCATATGTGCCTTCCACTTGTTAAGGGACCAAAAGTAATGGGACAGAATAATAATCAAAAACATTCACTTTTTAATACTTGGTTGCAAATCCTTTGCAGTCAATTACAGCCTGAAGTCTGGAATTTAGACAGCACCAGACGCTGGGTTTCATCCCTGGTGATGCTCTGCCAGGCTTCTACTGCAACTGTCTTCAGTTCCTGCTTGTTCTTGGGGCATTTTCCCTTCAGCAAGTGAAATGCATGCTCAAATCGGATTCAGGTCAGGTGATTGACTTGGCCATTGCATAACATTCCACTTATTTCCCTTAAAAAACTCTTTGGTTGCTTTTGCAGTATGCTTTGGGTCATTGTCCATCTGCACTGTGAAGCGGCATCCAATGAGTTCTGAAGCATTTGGCTGAATATGAGCAGATAATATTGCCTGAAACACTTCAGAATTCATCCTGCTGCTTTTGTCAGCAGTCACATCATCAATAAATACAAGAGAACCAGTTCCATTGGCAGCCATACATGCCCACGCCATGACACTACCACCACCATGCTTCACTGATGAGGTGGTATGCTTAGTATCATGTGCAGTTCCTTTCCTTCTCCATACTCTTCCCTTCTCTTCACTCTGGTACAAGTTGATTTTGGTCTCATCTGTCCATAGGATGTTGTTCCAGAACTGTGAAGGCTTTTTTAGATGTCGTTTGGCAAACTCTAATCTGGCCTTCCTGTTTTTGAGGCTCACCAATGGTTTACATCTTGTGGTGAACCCTCTGTATTCACTCTGGTGAAGTCTTCTCTTGATTGGTGACTGACACACATACACCTACCTCCTGGAGAGTGTTCTTGATCTGGCCAACTGTTGTGAAGGGTGTTTTCTTCACCAGGGAAAGAATTCTTTGCTCATCCACCACAGGTGTTTTCCATGGTCTTCCGGGTCTTTTGGTGTTGCTGAGCTCACCGGTGCGTTCCTTCTTTTTAAGAATGTTCCAAACAGTTGTTTTGGCCACGCCTAATGTTTTTGCTATCTCTCTGATGGGTTTGTTTTGTTTTTTCAGCCTAATGATGGCTTGCTTCACTGATAGTGACAGCTCTTTGGATCTCATCTTGAGAGTTGACAGCAACAGATTCCAAATGTAAATAGCACACTTGAAATGAACTCTGGACCTTTTATCTGCTCATTGCAATTGGGATAATGAGGGAATAACACACACCTGGCCATGGAACAGCTGAGAAGCCAATTGTCCCATTACTTTTGGTCCCTTAACAAGTGGGAGGCACATATGCAAACTGTTGTAATTCCTACAGCGTTCACCTGATTTGGATGTAAATACCCTCAAATTAAAGCGGACAGTCTGCAGTTAAAGCAAATCACTACTAGACTTGTATCTAACCTTCTCGGCACTGTACGAGACTTGTAATCTTATTTTTTTTCAACTGAATTGTACACTGGATCTCTACACTCTGCATGCCGTGCTCCACCCTGTACACTGCATTCTCCAGGCTATCCCACTCTGCACAATGCATACTCCAGGCTGCTACACTCTGCATTAAGTCCTACAAACAACTACCCTACCCTTAAACCCATATAAAAACTCCGCCCACTCTCCCATACGTTGCACACTGTGCCCTACGTTGCACACCGGGGCTCCGCACACGCACACTGTCCGCCCTACGCCACCCGGGGGCTCCGCACACTGTGCCCTACGTTGCACACCCGGGGGCTCCGCACACTGTGCCCTACGTTGCACACCCGGGGGCTCCGCACACTGTACGTTGCACACCCGGGGGCTCCGCACAATGTGCCCTACGTTGCACACTGTGCAGCCCTTTGCTTTGTGTATCTTACATACTCCAGGACACTATGCCCTGTACACACCATTGTGTAGGGGATATTTTCTAGAACTTATTAAAGAGTAAAATCCAATGTTATGGTGAGGTAGAAGGTTGGAAATGCTGGGGAGAGACACAAGTAGCTGGGTAGTATTGCCCCCTCCTGTATACAGGCACGTATAATGAAGTGTACAAGCACAGCTGGTGTTCTACACCTACTTCTTCTTATCCTCATTGGTAGCACATAGGAGTGGCATACCTCCAGACAGATCAGTACATGCTGGAGGAGTCCCATACAGAGGAGTGCACAGCATGCTGGCCTCTGCTCAGTCACTAATCAGGCTCACCATAGAGCACAGTATTATATTGTGATAGATGGTCTACCATGAGGACTCTGCTGTAATCATCTCCTCTCCATACACCAGTCTCAGCATACAATGACGGGATCATTATGGTCATTGGAGTAATGGCATCCATAACAATGCACAGTGCCCATTACCACCCCCCTTCTACAAGCACTGCTTGGGGCGCTTTCAGTTCTGAGAGGAAACAAGTTGAAGTTCTCAGACAACCCAGACCGGCTCATCCACATACAATCCGCGAGCCTCAAACAGAAACACAGCTGTATGTATGCATGTGTACACACCGCCCTGCTCTCACCTGCCCAGCGGTGCTCATGTCTCAGGCTGTACTCCGACACTGTGCCAGGACTCTGCCAGGACTTCCCCTCCCACTCTAGCCCGCTATATGAGGCGTTATTCAGTACCCGTCTCCGTGTGATGTCGCCCCCTGCCGCACGGAGGGACCCGAGCAGCAGCAGTTCTATCACAGGTTACTTGGGCACTGCAAGTTCTAGTGTGCACATATATGCAGCTCCCTAGAAAACATCCCTCGTATGGGGCTATTTGAGAACATTTCCAGCATGTCTTTTCACACCTTCTGTTACCACAGGGAACACTTTGGGGGAGATTTACTAAAACTGAAGCCCCAAGAATCTGGTGCAGCTGTGCATGGTAGACAATCAGTTTCTAACCTCGGCTTGTTCAATTAAAGTAGAATTCTAGGGATTTTTTTTCATTTTGGATAGAGCAAAGGGAGGGTTATATCCTCTGTCAGATTTCTTTCTGTGTCCCATTGCAGAGATTTCCCTTCACTTCCTGTCCCATAGCCAAACAGGAAGTGAGAGGAAATCCCTACAAATTAAGGGAATTCCTTGGGGGGACCCCCCTCCCCCCGGTCAGAACTAGTGTTCCCTCTATTACTTTTTTGGGGACAACTCAAAATATGGGATTTTCTTTTACTTTCACCTTCAATGATAATGGTAAACAGGACAAATAGAGAGGGGGAATCTGCCTAACCCTAGGTTCACACCTAAGCATTTTCCACATCATTTTGCATTTTGCAGAAATGCAGTACAGTCCATTTAACATGATTTCCTATGAGACATGTTCACATCTCCACGTTTTCACCTGCTGTGTTTTTTGGAAAGGGTCAGGAACTTTTCTGAATGCAAAAAGTTGCGCTTTTGGTTCTATAGATATCAATGGAAACACTGCAGAAAAGCATGTAGTGCATTTTGGCTGCATTTCTGCTGCATTTTTGCTGCATTTTGAATCTGCTTAGCAACAAAAAAATAAAAAAAAATGAAAAAAAAAAACCCACAAAAGGCATCAAAAACGTGACAAAAACACAATGCAGAACTGGCTCAAATGCAACCTGCATAGGTGTGAAAGGCTAAAGTGACCAGGTGTTCTAATTCTACACTATATCCAAAACTAAAAAAAAATGTTTTGCCTTTAGATATACTTCAGCAATAAAACCTGGAAGCTGATTGGTTTCAGAGCTGCACCAGATTTTGCACTCTCCAGTTTTAGTAAATCAACCCCGTTGTGTATAAACAGATGTGGAGTATCATAGGTGGCAGCCAGGGGTGGACTGACAACTCATGGGGCCCCCAGGCAATAGGGGATCACGGGGGCCCCTGTGTCCTTGCCCAAACTAAAAAAAAACTATGAAAAAGGTACCAGGGGCATCTCATGGGGCCCCCTACTGACCCCGGGCCCTCGGGCAGTGCCCGAGTTTCCAAATGGTCGGTCCGCCCCTGGTGGCAGCTGTCCATGACTATACCTCCTAATATGAGCATTGCTAGCTCTGGCCTTCCCGGAAGGGGGGGGGGGACATGTTCCTGCTCACAGCTGTTTTTTTTTTATCTGGAGCTAAGGTAGCCGCCCACTGCCTTTCTGAGCTAGGAGGAATTTTGGGCATTTTCCCCTGCACTACTCGGCAGGTCTGACAGGAGGCGGAAGGGCCAGCACCTTGAGGGTATATTCCTATTTTGCATTTTGTAAACTGATCTGCTCCACTTGTAAGGGGTCTGGTGAATTGTTAGTAATGGTGCCAAGAGCACAAGTCCCTATCTTGATTCTTCCCATCCAGAACAACCCATCTTCTCAAAGCATTTTCTGCCCTCTCCATGCCAGAGGCCTCTGCACAACATTCCCAGCCATTAACCTTTATATCCCAAAGGAATGAATGTACACACACTATGTACACACATAGACAGAGTTGCCGCACTTTACAGATGTTACTTTAAAGATGGCAAACACAGTCACATCACATCAACCTACTGTCTGGGGTCACTTGACAGTATATTTGCAATCACATAGTGGACGATCCATAGCAGTCACATGTGAAAGCAGCACGCATCCCATTCAGTAAACCATCTTGCCTACACAGTCTCGTTCTACTGGGGGTCATTAGTAGACATTCAGAGGCTCTGTTCACCTTAGGCTGTCTGTGTTCACTCACTGCTTCTCACAGGCAGTCCCACCAAGTTAAGATCACTGTAGACACCTCTAACTTAGGTACAACTATCCCAGGTCCTTCAGGGAAATAGCCTCATTTTAGGGAGCACTTGGGCTGACCTAAAAGACCTTTTGCAACCCCGTAACCTCATAGTTTTGACAGGTACCCACTCCCACTTCCAGTCAGATGTGCCGCAGTGATTTGACCTGTAAGTTCAACCCTCCCTCCTCTCCCTGCAAGCTTCTGGGACACCTCGCAGGTCCCAGACTGCAGAACCTTCACAAAGTGTAGCGCGCTTCGCTCATGTGCAGTAGGGAACTGGCTGTGAAGCCGCACTTCTGGTTTCCCTTACTGAAGATGCTGGCACCTGGTCCCAAAGTTGATTGAAGATCCCAGGACAGAGAAGTGCCATTATATTTACATTTTTAAGGGGACGCCTGGAGCTCCACTTTAAGGCCTTGTTGACACCTACGTGAAGAAAACTGATGGAAACTGACATGAAGCAGAGAAATCAGTTTACATCAGTTTTCATACGTGCTTCAATTAGTTTTATACACATTGCAGATTCCTGCACAGAAAAAATCTGCACTGGATACCACTGTTGGGGTGTGAACAGGGGACATAGAGAACAATTGATTTTGTTGTTTCCTTGCAGAATACGTGCAGAGAAACTGATGTCTCTGCACCATGGTGTGAACGACCCTGAACGCTCTATCCAGCAGGCATGATGACGTCTAAGCTAAGTTCCTCCGAACACGTTACACATACACACTATATTGCCAAAAGTATTGGGACACCTGCCTTTGTACGCACATGAACATTAATGGCATCCCAGTCTTAGTCTGTAGGGTTCAATATTGAGTTGGCCCACCCTTTGCAGCTACAACAGCTTCAACTCTTATGGTAAGGCTGTCCACAAGGTTTAGGAGTGTGTCTATGGAAATTCCAGAAGTGCATTTGTGAGGTCAGGCATTGATGTCGGACGAGAAGGCCTGGCTTGCAGTCTCCGCTCTAATTCTTCCCAAAGGTGTTCTGTTGGGTTGAGGTCAGGACTCCGCAGGCCAGTCAAGTTCCTCCAACCCAAACTCGCTCATGCATAACTTTATGGACCTTGTTTTGTGCACTGGTGTGCAGTCATGTTAGAAAAGGAAGGGGCCATCCCCAATCTGTTCCCACAAGGTTGGGAGCATGAAATTGTCCAAAATGTCTTGGTATGCTGGCGCCTTAAGAGTTTCCTTCACTTGAACTAAGAGTCCAAGCACAACCCCTGAAAAACAACCCCACACCATAATCCCCCCTCCATCAAACTTTACACTTGGCACAATGCAGTCAGTCAAGTACCATTCTCCTGGCAACCGCCAAACCCATCGGATTGCCAGACAGAGAAGTATGATTCATTGCTCCAGAGAACACGTCTACACCGCACTAGAGTCCAGTGGCGGCGTGCTTTACGCCACTGCATCTGACGCTTTGCATTGCACTTGGTCATGTAGGCTTGGATGCTTGGCCATGGAAACCCATTCCTTGAAGCTCTCTACACGCTCTTGTTGCTCTAATCTGAAGGTTACACAAAGTTTGGAGGCCTTTAGCTACTGAATCTGCAGATAGTTGGCGACTTCTGCACACAGTGTGCTTCAGCATGCGCTGACCCCGCTCTGTCATTTTAAGTGGCCTACCACTTCATGGCTGAGTTTCTGTTCTTCTTAGTTGCTTCCACTTTCTTATAATACCACTAACAGTTGACTGTGGAATATTTAGTAGCAAGGAAATTTCACGGATGGACTTATTGCACAGGTGGCAACCTATCACGGTACCACGCTTGAGCTCCTGAGAGCGACCCATTCTTTCACAAATGTTTGTAGCAGCAGTCTGCATGCCTAGGCGCTTGATTTTATACACCTGTGGCCATGGAGGTGATTGGAACACCTGAATCCAATGATGTGGAGGGATGTCCAAATACTTTTGGCAATATAGTATATATATAAATATATATATATATATATATATATATATATATATATATATATATATATATATACTGCTCGAAAAAAATTAAAGGAACACTTTTTAATCAGAGCATATCATCAAGTCAATTAAAGTCCTGAAATATTGATCTGGTCAGTTAAGTAGGAGAGAGGGTTGTTAATCAGTTTCAGCTGCTTTGGTGTCAATGAAATTAACAACAGGTGCACTAGATGGGCAACAATGAGACAACACCCCAAAACAGGAATGGTCTTACAGGTGGAGGCCACTGACATTTTTTTCCCCTATTCATCTTTTCTGAATGTATTTCACTAGTTTTGCATTTGGCTAGGGTCAGTGTCACTACTGGTAGCATGAGGCGATACCTGGATCCTAGAGAGGTTGCACAGGCAGTCCAACTCCTCCAGGATGGGACATCAATACGTGCCATTGCCAGAAAAATTGCTGTGTCTCCCAGCACAGCCTCAAGATTATGGAGGAGATTCCAGGAAACAGGCAGTTACTCTAGGAGAGCTGGACAGGGCCTTAGAAGGTCCTTAACCCATCAGCAGGACCGGTATCTGCTCCTTTGTGCAAGGAGGAACAGGGTGAGCACTGCCAGAGCCCTACAAAATGTCCTCAAGCAGGCCACTGATGTGAATGTCTCTGACCAAACAATCGGAAACAGACTTCATGAGGGTGGCCTGAGGGCCCTAAGTCCTCTAGTGGGCCCCGTGCTCACTGCCCGGCATCATAGAGCCCAATTTGCATTTGCCATTGAACACCAGAATTGGCAGGTCTGCCACTGGTGCCCTGTGCTTTTCATAGATGAGAGCAGGTTCGCCCTGAGCACGTGCGACAGATATGAAAGGGTCTGGAGAAGCATTGGAGAACATTATGCTACCTGCAACATTCTTCAGCATGACCATTTTGGTGGTGGGTCAGTGATGGTCTGGGGAGGCATATCCATGGGGGCATGCACAGACCTCTACAGGCTAGACAATGGTACCCTGACTGCCATTAGGTATTGGGATGAAATCCTTAGACCCATTGTCAGACCCTACACTGCTGCAGTGGGTCCTGGGTTCCTCCTGGTGCAATGACCAGCCTCATGTGGCGAGAGTATGCAGACAGTTCCTGGAGGATGAAGGAATGGGGACCATTGAATGGCCCCCATGCTTGCCTGACCTAAATCCAATAGAGCACCTCTGGGATATCATTTTTAGGTCCATTCGACGCTGCCAGGTTGCACCTCAGACTGTCCAGGAACTCAGTGATGTCCTGGTCCAGATCTGGGAGGAAATACCCCAGGAGACCATCTGTCGTCTCATTAGGAGCATGCCCCGACGTTGTCAGGCATGCACATGGGGACCATACAAAATACTGAGTACCATTTTGAGTTGTTGCAATGAAATTTCAGCAAAATTAACTAGCCTGCTGCGTCATTTTTTCAGGGTATCTTTGAAGTCAGTCCTCTGTAGGTTGATAATTTTCATTTCCATCAAACAATGGGACATCCTTATATTCCTAACACATTACTCAGTCCTTATCAGTATAGATAACCAGCATGATATTTTTCCCCATTGAGATTCAAAGTGTTCCTCTATTTGTTTGAGCAGTGTGTATATATATATATATATATATATATATATATAATATTCTGACGTGCATGACATGCATAGGCAAGGTCTATTTGCACATTAAAAGGGAGGTCATCAAGATTGGCAAAAATGGCAATTTTAAATGGGACTCTGAATTCAATGGTTCTTTTCCAGAGGGAGACATTTATTCGATTCGAGAACAGTTCACATCATACTTGCAACAGATGACAATATCCAGCAGAATATTTGTATATATTACAACAAACAGCAGCCCTCAGAGTCCCATTTAAAATACTTCATATTAAGTATATATATGTCCAATCTATAATATGCACATAAGTAGCTTCCACGTATGCAATAATGTGTATTATGATCTAGACCTGTGCTTCCATAATGGCAGCACAGTGGCTAAATGGTTAGCACTTCCACCTGGCAATACTACGGTTGCTGGTTCGAATCCCAACCGCGGCACCACCTGCCTGGAGTTTTCATGTTCTCCCTGTGACTGTGTGGGTTTCCTCTGGGTACTCTGGTTTCCTCCCAAACTCCAACGACATGCTGGTAGGTGAATTGGATCCTGTCTAAATTGTCCCCAGTATGTATATGTATGAATGTGAGTTAGGGAATTTTGATTGTACGCTCCTTGAGGGTTAGGGACTGATGTGAATGTACAATATATATGTAAAGCGCGCTGCGTAAATTGATGGCACTATATAACCTGAAATAAATAAATAATAATGTATAACATATCTAGATCATGACCCTTCTAAAAACTAAGCTATAAAAAAAACCTCACCCCTGAAAAACCAGTTAATGACCCTGGAGCATTTCTGATTGGCTGATCAAACACATTTGATTTTGTTGTTAGTCAAGAAGAAAAGACCAGTTAAGGCAGTGTTGCCAACTGTCAGTATTTTTACTGGCAGCCAGTAAAAAATGGGCACTTTTCTCTTGCCAGTAAATGCTAGTGACAGGAAAGATTGCCAGTCAAAAATGATGGCTGTGTTGCTCGGCTCGGAGCTGTTCTTGCCCAGAGCTGTCTGAGACTATCCAAGTGTCTGCTACAGTATGTTCCGGAGGCACCAGCGGAGGGTGTCTTGTGAAGGTGGTGCCTGAGCTTGTCATGGGATGTCATGGTGCAAGCGAGCCAAGCCAAGCGGCTGTAGCCTCAGGTGTAAGTCTGCAGGATGGGAGCAAGGCAAGCCAGGAGTCAAATGAAGGGACCACCTGGCGTGGACACAGACTGTCACTGTGACTCAGAAGAAGATGTGTCATGTCAGGGAGGTGTTATCATCATCTGTGCTGCTGCACACTGCTGTCAGTGTCACTGCAAAGTCAATTCCATGTATGTATGCCCGCCCATTCCAATTTCTTTCTCTTTGAGTCCTGTCCCTAAGCTACTTACTATATTGAAAATAAAATAAGAAATATGATTTTTTTTTTTGCCTTAATATCTACCTTAAATCACATTGTTATTTGCATACTGTATTGTACTTGTTTGTAGCATAAATACTAAAATTTGCACTTAAAACTGTAATTTTTTTTAAAAAATTTGGGTGTCGTGTCAGTGAATCTCAATTTGGTAGGTTGGCACAGGGACGAAACTAGGCAAGGGAGTGGGGGTGCAGTGATTCTATTCAGGGTGGAGAGCGGGGAGAGAGAAGACCAGGAGAACTGCACAGACATTGCCTGGGAGTCTATGACTTTCTCTCTTTTCATTACTGAGCATCTTCTTATCCCGCCTGTCTATTGTGTCAGCTGTTGCACACTGCATAGTGCACCTCTAGACCCTGCACTCTGTAAGTAGCGCACACCTTAACCCTGCACTCTGTACACAGTGCACCCCTAAACCCTGCACTCTATACACAGTGCACCCCTTCACTCTGTATGTAGCGCACCCCTAAACCCTGCAATCTGTACATAGACCACCCCCAAACCTTGCACTCTGTACACTGTGCACCCCTAAACCTCTGCATTGTGTACATAACGCATCCCTGAATCCTGCACTCTGTACTTAGCACTCCGCTAAACTCTGCACTCTGTACACAGCATACCCTTGGACCCTGCGCTCTGTATGTAGCACTGAGGGTGAAGAGAAACGGACTGGAGAATCTGTCCTCAGTCCCTTTCTGTGCCTAAAAATCATTAATGGCCTGTTTAGGCATTTTTGGTAGTTTGGCATCTTTGCCCTGGGCCCTGAATGAACTTGTTCCGGTACTTGGGGGGGAGTGAGTAGGTGCCGAACTGAGCCTTTGCCCCTAGTGAAAGAATGTCTAGCTTCGCCACTGGATTGGCAACACTGAGTTAAAGACTAGGTTCACCTTTTTTTTTTTTAAATAAAATCCAGCTTCCCTATGCACCAATATACCATTAACGTACCTCAGTTACAAAAGTATTCAAACTCTCTTTGATCTGGAGAGCAAGGCCTTACCTTAGCCTTTGGTAAATTTCTTAGAAAGCTTTTCCAATTCCTGGAATGTAGACAGAGGACAGAGGAGCCAATAGAACCCCAGAAGCAGATTACCAGCTGATCTCATAGGCACACACATCCTGCACTGACCTCTTTACTACACAAAAAGAAGGCGCCTCTAAGTGCAGCAATATGACAGTTTATTATCATAAAAGGCTGAAACCGCTTACAAGAAATACAGGCTCATTGCACGTGTGTAGCCTATATTTCTGGTGGAAATGGAGCAAGGACCATTCGGGCGTCCAGCGGCAGCGGGACCCATGGAGTGCAGGAATATCGGAACCAAGATGGCCACCACACTTCTAAGATCCGTGTAGAATGCATACGCTGGATGTGATGTAGGATGGAGGGCAGTAACGTGTTTTGGAGCATCTTAGCAAGCTCCTTCGTCAGACTTCAAGGGTGATCCTTGCTGTATACACCCAATGTTGAGGTGAAAGCAAGCCCTGTTGGATTGATACCAATCTGGCTGGCCTCTGACCCAGTGACGTTCATATTATATACTGTATTTGTGCTTATGACCTCAGGAAGTAGGTCATGTCCCTATGGTAAGAGGTTTATCTGTACACTGGTGATGAAACACAGACATTGGCCCAAGTGTGGAGTATTTTTCTGCAGAATACTACCCTGGATATATACTGAATGTGCACTTTAGTCACAGTATTTGGCACACTTGTGCATTAATGTACTGTATATTGTTGCTTATTTACAGCTTTTGTATCTTTATTCAAATGGTGTAGTGATGCACTGAAATACACATTGTTTGAGTTTGATGGCATTTTATTGTAAACAGAATTTATCTAATGGGGTCAATACAGTTTTCATTTTTTTTTGTCTTTGTATTCTTATAAATTGAGCTCAGATCTCTCATCGTGATTTCATGATTACACTTTTAATTTCTTTCTTTTTTCTTCTTTACATGTTTCATGAAAAGCTTTACATGCATT